GAGCGATTTGGCTGCTGCATAAGTTAGTTTGCTCTGGAGCCATCCTTCCTGAGCGAAGACAAAAATGTGTGAGCTGGAGGCTAAAACATGGTGAGTTAGCTCACACTAACTCAGCTTAGAGGGAACATTGCTGGCTGGCAGGGTAGCTATTATGAAGCTTCCTTACACAGGCTGTGGAGAATGTGATAGAGAGATCTTGTTTGCCCTCTCTCAAGCAACTAGGATCAGGGGCATCCATCGAAGTTGATGGGCAAATATACAGAGGAAAAGAGCAAGAGTCCAGGAGCACCTTAAAGACTAACAAAATTTGTGGCAGGGTAGGAGCTTTCATGAGTCACTGCTCACTCCTTCAGATACAGCCAGAACGTGAGACCATCTGTCCTATTTATTGAAAGTGGAGTGATTTCAGATGCTGAATGACAATAGCAGGTGAATGACACTAGCAGGTGTGATTGGATTAGGTGTGATATGCAGAGGGGTAGTAGGTGGTTTTTGCATTGTTTATCAGACAGGAAACCTAGGTCTTGATTCAGTCCAGGTGGATGCATTGTCTAGCTGTATCTAGAAAAGTGAGCAGTGACTCACGAAAGCTCCTACCCTGCCACAATTTTTGTCAGTCTTTAAGGTGCTACTGGACTCTTGCTCTTTTCTACTGCTACAGGCAGGTGTGTGTTAAGTGCCATCAAGTCATATACAGAGGACATTCATTGTTAACTTGTGGTGCCCACTGCCTCAATAGTGATGGCCACTAGCTTGTGTGTGTGTGTTAAGTGCCATCAAGTCACTTTCAACCTATAGCAACCCTGTGAATGAATGGCCTCCAGAATGTCCTATCCTTAACAGCCTTGCTCAGGTCTTGCGATCTGAAGCTGCTCGCTTAGATGCTTCAAAGAGGAAGGTTTGGATTGGGGCCGCAGCTCAGCAGTAGGGCCTTTGCTGTTTGTGCGGAAGGTCCTAGCTTCAATCCCCAGCATCCCCAGGCACATCACACACATGAGATGTTAGGGAGCTTCTGCCAGTCAGAGTGGACAGTGCTGATCCGGACAAACCAGTGGCCTGACTCAGCATTTATTTATATTTATTTATAATATCGATTTATGAATCGCTCTGTCCCTGAGTACTCAGGGCTCTGAGCGATGAACAACAGCGGTAAAATACATCAAGATAAAAACAGTTCCCAACAATGAAACAGTTTACATGAAAACAATTCATAGACGGCATTATTGGATTCTAGACTGCGTCGCTGCTTCCTAAAAGGACTAGGGCAGTGATGGCGAACCTTTTAGAGACCAAGTGCCCAAACTGTGACCCAAAACCCACTTATTTATTGCAAAGTGCCAACACGGCAATTTAACCTGAATACTGAGGTTTTACTTTAGAAAAAACAACTCATACATTAACTTAAGATGATCCAAACAAAGTAAGGAAAGCAATCCCAAATGCTTTCATTTACTTAAAATTATTTGGCAGAGAATTCGACACTTTCATGATGGTCTGGGTCTGGCTGGGGCGATGGCACATGTGCCCACAGCGTGCCACCTCTGGCACCCGTGCTATAGGTTCGCCACCACTGGTCTAGGGGAAACATAGCTGGAAAAGAAGAGAAGAAGAAGAAGAGATTGGATTTATACCCCGCCCTTCACTACCCAAAGGTGTCTCAGAGCGGCTTACAGACTCCTTTCCCTTCCCCTCCCCACAACAGACACCCTGTGAGGTAGGTGGGGCTGAGAGAGCTCTTGACAGACACTGCTCTTTTTCAAGGACAGCTCTTATCAGAGCTACGGCTTGCCCAAGGTCATCCAGCCAGGTGCAAGTGGAGGAGTGGGGTATCAAACCCAGTTCCCCCAGATTAGAGTCCGCGCACTTAACCACTGCACCAAACTGGGGAGGAAAGGGGAGGAAAGGGTGTGCCAGCCAAGATGGTACTCACCGCTGGCCTCAACCAAAGGCACGATGGATCATCTCTGCCTTGCAAGCCCTGTGGAACTGCATCAGGTCCTGCAGGGCGTGGATGTTGTTTGGCAGAGAGTTCCATCAGACCAGGGGCCAGGGCTGAAAAGGCCCTGGGCCTGGCTGAGGACAGCCAGATGTCTGTTGGGCCGGGGATCGCCAGTAAGTTGTTCTCGGCAGAGAGTAACGCTCTTCGTGTGTTTATGACCAACCCAGTCGGTGGCTGAATGGAATCTCCAGGCATAGTGACAACGTACCTCTAAATGCCAGTTGCTGGGGCAAGAACAGGGGAGGCTTTGGTCTGTGCTCCGCTGCTTTGGATATTCTGAGGTCTCTGGTCAGCCGCTGCAGAAAGCATGGGCCTGAGCTAAGTGGACCTTTGGTCTGACGCTTTCGTTATGGACTGGTGACTTCTGCGGACTTAGCCGTTTCGGGTGTGGACAGTGTAAGGGGAGGCTTTGGTCTGTGCTCCGCTGCATTCTGAGGCCTCTGGTCAGCCGCTGCAGAAAGCATGGGTCTGAGCTAAGTGGACCTTTGGTCTGATGCTTTCGTTATGGACTGGTGACTTCTGCAGACTTAGCCGTTTCGGGTGTGGACAGTGTGCTGCTCACTTAGCGTACTGTTTGTGGCTTGTCGAGATTAGAGGGTTGCAAAAGTGTTTGGAAACTTCAGTCGCTGCAGAACGCAGGAGCCAGGATGTTGACTGGAGTGGGTTAAGGGGGCAGGTCTACACTGGCTCCCAGGGGACAATTCAAGGTGTTGGTGTTAACCTTTAAAACCCTATATGGTTCCAAAACAGCATATTTGAAAGGACTACTTACTCCTAACCTGACTGCTACGGTCGTCTTCAGAGGCCCTGCTTTGGGGGGCCTCTGCCTTCTGAGATTAAGCAAACAGCAACCCAGGAGAGGATCTTCTCGGTTGTGGCACCGAAACGCTGGAATTCTCTCTCCCGAGAGAATCGCCTGTCCCCTTCTGCTGTTGTTTTCTGCTGGCCGGTGAAGACTTTTCGGCTTTGTCTGGCATCCCCCTCCGTGATCCTCCTTCCTGCCCTATGTTTTAATTGCAATTTTAATGTTTCCTATGTGTGTGTTTTTGCTTTGGTTTTAATTGCTTTAATGATGTGTTTTTGTGTGGGTGTCGTGTAAGGGACCGTATGATGTGCTTTTAGCATGTTTGTTTTAACTGTCAGCAACCTCGGTGGCCCTGATGAGGGCAGAAAGGCAGGGTATAAATGTCGCAAATAAATAATTAGATGCTTAGAGGAGAATGGGAAGGGTTTGGGAAAGGGCATGAATGTTTTGGGACCCTGCCTGTTTGCTTTGCTTCTGTGTTTAGAACTTGGGCCACACCAAAGCACAAAAGTGGACGGGCAGGAAGGATCAGGGCCGGAAAGCGTCAGACTGTCTTCCTTAAAAAACAGAACAAAGTCTGAGTCCAGTGGCACCATTAAGACCTCCAAAGTTTAATTCTGGGTATAAGCGTTTGTGTGCTTATGTGCATACACGTGAAAGCTTGTACCCAGAATTAAACTTTGTTGGTCTTAAAGGTCCCACTGAACTCAGACTTTGTTCTGTTGGTCTCCTCTGTTGTTTCAGACCAATGCAGCCACCCACCTGAATCTTCCTTTAAAAATATTTAACATATTCCACTGCATGTAGAAAGCATGTCCTCACCGGGGGTAACTGTAGGAACAAACACTGAAATATTTGTATCATTTTAAATTTTATATTTAAAACCTCTTTATACGGCTGTTCTGCGCAATCAGGGTCCCTGAGGGGGGCTACATAAAAAACATTAGAACAATTAAAAGCAACATTAAAAACTTTAAAATAATTCAATAAAAACAAATAAACAATACCAGAAGCAAGGAGGAGGGCCAGTAACACTTAGTGGGGGATTGCTAAACGAAACCGACGGGTCTTCACCCACTGGCTGATACAGCGTTCAAATCCAAAATGAGATTTAAAATTATGGTCTTTTTATTAAAATAGCTTTTATTTATAACTAGTAATAGATAACATAAATAGCCGAAAAACAACCAATACAGCTACACGCAGCATTGACAGCTTTTACATTATACAAGCAACTAACAAAAGTTTTAGTGACAACTTCAAAGGCCGACTTTATATAAATAATAAATATACAAGCTATAACATGTTTACAAGAATTTGATAGACTCATGAACATAACAGCATTAAAGAAACATAAACTGTATCTACTCCTGAGGAACCTAGAGATTTGTGTAGAGCATCTTCAGATGCAGATAGAAACGAGTACTATTTTGCCTCGGAACCTCTATGATCTGACTCGATTTGATGTTGGGCTTCCCAGTCAGATATTTTGCCTGTTTTTGTTTTATTTACATAGTACGCTGCCTTGAGTTCTGCAAGGTAGAGAGGTAGAAAGAAAGAAAAGTCAATACAAGCAGTATAGTGCTATCCCCCATACTCTTGAAATGTACAAACATGGGAAATCACAAATAACATTCACTCTAAAGCTTCTACACTTGAAAGCAAATAGAACAATCAAATTCTAAGCATTTTTATGTTGAAGGGGATGACGTAAAAAGCCAACCAGTCACGCACACACACCCCAGTGCAATCCTCCGTACTTCTGAAATCGAAGTGCTGCAGCCCCCCATTTTGGCCTGAAGATCCCCATTTCAGTTTCACTTCTCATGCAGTTTGGACCCATGAAGTTTTATCTTTATGTCCTCTTCCTAACTCCATGCATCAAATGTTCCCCGTCAAAGGTACGCAGTCTGTTGTTTGTGTGCTGGTTGTGCAAAAGTGGCATTAAAAGAACAAATGGATCGCCAACACCAAAAATGGACAAAATGAAAAAGGTTCAAAACGACACAATTAAAAAAATAAGAAGAAGCCAGTAAGGGCAGTTTCATAAAAAGAATTCTGAGAAGCTTGTTAGACATACTGTTTATTAAAATATTTATACCCTGCTTTTCCTCATAGTTCAAAGTGTCTGATATTGTGTGTGATACGTGCCATCAAGTTGCTTCTGGCTTATGGAGACCCCATCATTAACAGCCTTACTCAGATCTTGCAAACTGAAGGCTATGGCTTCCTTAATGGAATCCATGTCATGTTGGGTCTTCCTGTTTTCCTGCTCCCTTCAACTTTCCCTAGCATTATTGTCTTTTCCAGTGAGTCTTGTCTTCTCAACATGTACCAAAATACAATAGCCTCAGTTTGGTAATTTTAGCTTCAAACTACATTTGACCTAGAATCTGCTTATTTTACTTGTCGTGAAAAGAGTGGATCTCAAAAGGCCTTAGGATATTTGTTTTTGTAAACTGGGACAGCCTTATTTTCTCTTTAGTCAAGCAAAGTCTCTTGATCTTTCTGTAGCATTTTGGGAGTTTTTTCTCCCCTGGGACTATTCTAGCATTTGGGGTTGCCCAGACATGAGATGGATTGACTCAGTCAAAGAAGTTGCAGAATTCAGTTAGGGAATTCCCTATCACAAGGTGTAGTGCTTGACACACTCTTAAATGGGTTTTTAAAAACAACTTAGACAAGTTCATGGAAGAGAAATCTGCCATCCATTTTGGTACCCCACCTGTTGAACACTTGTGTGGGTATCATGCGGGGCGAGGAGTGTGCGTCCTCCTTAAGGTTTTCCTGGTTGCGCACCCGGTTTTGTTCATTCTGAAGGGAGGGAACTTTCCTCCTGCTTCCATAATGCTAGGACTCAAGGTCACCCTGTCACATTGATTGGCTACAGGTTTTAACAACAGATCAGACAAAATATTTTGTTTCTCATGTTCCAAACCAAAGATTTACTGGCATGGAATGAAGGGGGTGGGGAAGCTACAGGTGTCTGGTGTGGACACAATCTCCCCCCACCAAGACCACGTTGTTCATGGCTAAAGGGATTCTCCCCCCCCCCCCCCCACCACCCCTCGTCGTTTCACCCTGTATTGGTGTTTGGTTGGGTTTTTTTTCTTTCTTTTTTTGTATTTTTGCATTTGTGTGTGTGTGTGTAAGTCATGGCGACCTCTGGCAACTCCTACTGGGGCACGGAGGACATTCGGAGAAGTGGCTTGATAGCCTGCCTCTGGCCTCCCGGCCCTGGTGTTCTCTGGAGGTCTCCCATCCAAATACTTGCCAGGGTCGGCCCTGCTTAGCTTCTGAGATCTGACAAGATCTGGTTTGCCTGGGCTGTCCAGGTCAGGGCGCCTGTATTGGTCTATTGACAGTTATTAGCCGTGGTAGTTAAATAGAGCTTCCAGGTCCAGAGGGGACGTACCTCTGATTTTCGGAACAAACAGGGGGCAGCTGTTGTGTTCATGCCAGTTTGTGTAGACGCATTTGTTTGACTGCTGTTGGGAAGAGCAATGCTGGCCTACATGGATCCTCTGAAGGTTCTCGTGTTCCTATGAATGGATTAAGGTTGTTCGAAACAAAACAGTTCAGCATTGAAAGGGTTGTCTGATGACTGAAAGGCATGATTGGCAGACCTGTGCGTAGCCGGGCCACTTGGGAGGGGCGGGGGAGGGATTGCATGCCTGAATATTCCCCGATAGTGAAAGAAACACCCTTCTCCCCAACACAGGAGCATCCACGTGTGTGACATTTCCCCCCACCGGAGACTCTCTGTTAATGTCGCCCTGCGGTCTGGATCACACAGGCTTGATCTGTGCATGTGGGCGGGAGGCTTGTGGGCAGCCAGTCACTGCACCCGAGATGACCTTGAAGCCTTCTGTCCCTCCCTGGGATCTCACAAGTCCTTCTCCTGCTTCTTGGCTCCCCCCCCCCTTTCCCCTCCATCAGGACATCCTCTTCGGCTTGCTGAAGCAACTGTTCCAAGAGAAGAACCCCCCCGACAGGAAAAAAGCTCTCAAGGTGGTGGTCATGTCGGCCACCCTGGACACTGACAAGTTTTCTGAGTTCTTCGGTGGCTGCTCGGTGGTGGACATCCCAGGAAGGAGCTACCCAGTGAAGGAGATCTTCTGTGACCTCGTGGGCCCGAGGGATGCCGGGGGCTCTGCTTACGTGACAGAGGTGACGGCTTGCCGATCGGTCTGATTTATGTAACGTCAGGCTTCTTACTTTCAAGCTTTGGGAGAAAAGATACATGGCAGCCCACATCGGGGGGGGGGGAGCTGGCAGTCTGTGGGTGCTGTAACGCAGGTCGTGTGTGACCTCGCGTGGCTAGCTGGTGGGATTCTCTCTTCGCCCCTCCTCTGTGACATTTTTAGTCCGTGCTTCCTCCAAGGACTCCTGGGGTATGGCTTTCCTCTCCTTCAGTGGAGAGCTAGACTGGGGTGCTGGTTATTTACTGAGCCGAGGGAGTAGCTAGGAGGCGGAAGCCAATGATGTTGGGGTGTGTCAGACTGGCCCCAGGGGATTCTGGGTTGAAATCCCTGCTCAACCATGACTCTAGACTGGTCACTTTCTCTCGCTCCAGCCTTTGCTTCACAAAATGGAGTTGGGGCAGAACTTTGTACCTTACCCTGGCCTGAGCACCTTGGAGGAAGGTTGTAATAAAATAAAATTGAAAGATAGATCCTCACAACAACCCTGTGAGGTACGTACGCTGGGTGACTCAACAACCCTGTGAGGTACGTATGCTGGGTGACTCAGATAAGGTCATCCAGCAAGCGCATCCAGATAAGGTCATCCAGCGAGCGAGTGGTTAAGGAAGGATTGGAACATAGTTTGGTGTAGTGGCTAAGTGTGTGGACTCTAATCTAGAAGAACCGGGTTTGATTCTCTACTCCTCCACTTGCACCTGCTGGTGTGACCTTGGGCAAGCCATAGTTCTGTCAGAGCTGCTCTTGAAAGAGCAGTTCTGGAAAGAGCTCTCTCAGCCCCACCTACCTCACAGGGTGTCTGTTGTGGGGAGGGGAAGGGAAAGGACTTTGTAAGCTGCTCTGAGACTCCGAGTGAAGGGCGGGGTATAAATCGAATCTCTTCTTCTTCATCTCCTTATACCCAGTCCAACAGACTAACAAACACCGGCTCTCTACCTTGTGGAGTTGGGAAGTACTGTCAAGTCATGGCTCCCTTATAGGGGGAACCTGTTGGGTTTTCAAGGCAAGAGACATTCAGAGGTGGTTTGGCATTGTCTGTCTCCGGCTCTCTACCTGCAAGCACTCTATTTCCCACCTCTGTTCTTCATTTCTTTCTCTGTGATCTTTTCTGGGTGCATAGAGGGAGGAACTGGAGAGAGCACAGGAAGATTTTTTTTTTCTTTAAAAGTCATGACTTCCTGATTGGTGGTCCTCCAGATCACTATTGGGAAGAGGCTAAAATGCATTGCCACTTCCAATTTGGTGTAGTGGTTAGGAGCACGGACTCTAATCTGGGAGGACTGAGTTTGATTCCTCACTCCTCCACATGCAGCTGGTGGCGTGACCTTGGGTCAGTTACAAGTTCTATCAGAGCTGTTCTCTCATGAGCAGTTCTCGAGAGAGCTCTCTCAGCCCCGCCTATTTTACAGGCAGTGCTCCCTCTAAGCTGTGGAGTTTTCTGAGCAAAAATTCTACTTTGTGAGCTACTGGCATTACAGATGTGAGAGAGCGATTTGGCTGCTGCATAAATCAGTTTGCTCTGGAGCCATCCTTCCTGAGCGAAGGCAAAAATGTGTGAGCTGGAAGCTAAAAAACTGAACTAGCTCACACTAACTCAGCTTAGAGGGAACACTGGTTAGGGAGTGTGGACTCTAATCTGGGAGAACCGGGTTTGATTCCCCAGTCCGCCATATGCAGCAGCTGCTGGTGTGACCTTGGGTTAGTTACAAGTTCTGTCAGAGCTGTTCTCTCATGAGCGCCTGGCCTGAGCACCTTGGAGGAAGGTTGTAATAAAATAAAATTGAAAGATAGATCCTCACAACAACCCTGTGAGGTACGTACGCTGGGTGACTCAACAACCCTGTGAGGTACATACGCTGGGTGACTCAGATAAGGTTATCCAGCGAGCACATCCAGATAAGGTCATCCAGCGAGCGAGTGGTTAAGGAAGGATTGGAACATAGTTTGGTGTAGTGGCTAAGTGTGTGGACTCTAATCTAGAAGAACCGGGTTTGATTCTCTACTCCTCCACTTGCACCTGCTGGTGTGACCTTGGGCAAGCCATAGTTCTGTCAGAGCTGCTCTTGAAAGAGCAGTTCTGGAAAGAGCTCTCTCAGCCCCACCTACCTCACAGGGTGTCTGTTGTGGGGAGGGGAAGGGAAAGGACTTTGTAAGCTGCTCTGAGACTCCGAGTGAAGGGCGGGGTATAAATCCAATCTCTTCTTCTTCATCTCCTTATACCCAGTCCAACAGACTAACAAACACCGGCTCTCTACCTTGTGGAGTTGGGAAGTACTGTCAAGTCATGGCTCCCTTATAGGGGGAACCTGTTGGGTTTTCAAGGCAAGAGACATTCAGAGGTGGTTTGGCATTGTCTGTCTCCGGCTCTCTACCTGCAAGCACTCTATTTCCCACCTCTGCTCTTCATTTCTTTCTCTGTGATCTTTTCTGGGTGCATTGAGGGAGGAACTGGAGAGAGCACAGGAAGATTTTTTTTTTCTTTAAAAGTCATGACTTCCTGATTGGTGGTCCTCCAGATCACTATTGGGAAGAGGCTAAAATGCATTGCCACTTCCAATTTGGTGTAGTGGTTAGGAGCACGGACTCTAATCTGGGAGGACTGAGTTTGATTCCTCACTCCTCCACATGCAGCTGGTGGCGTGACCTTGGGTCAGTTACAAGTTCTATCAGAGCTGTTCTCTCATGAGCAGTTCTCGAGAGAGCTCTCTCAGCCCCGCCTATTTTACAGGCAGTGCTCCCTCTAAGCTGTGGAGTTTTCTGAGCAAAAATTCTACTTTGTGAGCTACTGGCATTACAGATGTGAGAGAGCGATTTGGCTGCTGCATAAATCAGTTTGCTCTGGAGCCATCCTTCCTGAGCGAAGGCAAAAATGTGTGAGCTGGAAGCTAAAAAACTGAACTAGCTCACACTAACTCAGCTTAGAGGGAACACTGGTTAGGGAGTGTGGACTCTAATCTGGGAGAACCGGGTTTGATTCCCCAGTCCGCCATATGCAGCAGCTGCTGGTGTGACCTTGGGTTAGTTACAAGTTCTGTCAGAGCTGTTCTCTCATGAGCTGTTCTCGAGAGAGCTCTCTCAGCTCCACCTGCTTCACAGAAGCTGTGGAGTCTTCTGAGCAAAAATTATACTTTGTGAGCTATTGGCATTAAAGTTGTGAGCAAGCAGTTTGGCTAC